TATATATATAGATTACTTCGTGCTACATTATCTATAGAAGTGACGATAAATGATGACGTTATCAAACAGTATCATGTTATCACGACAACAATTAGTAATACAAATATCGATAATAATTATAATGATGATATTTTAATTATACGACAATATATTGCGCGCATGAGTTGGACAAAACCTGGAAACGGTGTCAAGGGCGAAGTACTTGCCACCTTACCGTTATACTTGGTAAAAAAAACCAATATATACCCGCACCTAGGCACTCATAGACATTAACTGGAATCGATACTTCGATGCTATAGTCATATGTGTATCAACGGGTGTTGGCCATGTATGAATATACAGAAAGTACGCTCACGGTTTACTCAGTTATATCAATGCAACTTATTATTATCTAACCACATACTGAAAATTTCTTACTAATATGAATTTTTGTTAACTATATATATATATATATATATATATATATATTGGATGTACGTATATGTGTAACCATCGTATTACATATGTCGCGTGATAGACGGGCCGGCCGGGCTCAGCCTGACGGTTAAAGGTACACAAAAAGTAACGAATCTCTCATAACCAAATTGAATATTATGAAACACACAGACACCAAAATATAAAGGCAACCCAGCTAACGTCAATATCGTTCACTCGTATTGTTACGTAGAGAGCCGAACCAGCCAGATCAGCTATAGAAATCAGTTATCAGAAAAGTATCTATGGAAGAATCCTTGCAAATCATCTTCCTCTACGTATAGTTCAATTATGACAGAGTGTCAAAGTTGATTTGCACCTACAATAACAATGGCTTTGCAAAATCTTCAACCTTTAGGCAATGGTAAGAACAACGTACGTGAAAATGATCGTATCTTTCAAACGAAGCTGTACTAGTCCGACTAATTTTAATGATCTAAGGAATTTACTGAACTTGAAATGGTGAAGTTCGTTCTTCATCTAGTTGCTTCAGACCGCGAGTGATTAGGTGGCAAAAAAGGCAAACGGCAGTATCTCGCTATTTTTACCCGTTGCTCTAATAGCAACAGACGATAACCTTTGTTACTGCATCGTGTATTGTCACCATGTTGCATGGTATCCTGAAATGCGCTGAGTGAAACTAGTCTATTCCAATAGGATGCATTTTGGTCCATGGTTGTAGCGTACACGTACGGGTCATCTTCACTCAGTACGGTGACGTGTTGTTTGACTGGCTATTCTTATATATGTACTCATTTACCCTCGGTAAAGGCAAACACGGAGATCTAGGAAAGCTATTTTCTGGTAAATGCGTGCTTGAGTGGGTGGCGGTCAACTGTACACAACTACCTCCTTACTTCTGCCAATTACATTTTGTTCATCTCTAGAAAAAAACTGAAAGGTACTCAATTTTTCTATTTTACTGACTTACTTGTACTTCGGATACTATTGTCCAATAGAGATAGCCGTTATGTACATTCGTGAAAGATAAGATACTTTTATTATCATTGCAACAGTCACTGCGTAAAACAAATGAAGAAGTACTAATGATTTCAGCTGGCCTTGTGTAGACCGTATGTATTTATGTTCGGAACGCTAGATGCTGACCAGTACTCAGTATCAGTCAGCTCATAGGCACGCTGTGGATACTGAGCCCAGGGAACCGGTGAGTCGAGCCCGCCGCGACGGTAATAAATAATCAAGAAAACACTCGATATATATATATATATATAATAAAAACACAACACATACATACATACACGCGAGAATGATACAAACAGATTGTATCTTGTTGGTGATATTCTCCATATCTTAACAATTTTTTATGGTTTTAGTAATCGTTATAGGTGTGATTATATACTTTATGTTTTCATTAGTACGTATAACGGAATAACCCAAGATATTGTAGAATTGTTGGCTACACAACACTCGGACGTCAACGAAACGTAACATATTATATATGATTATATTCATAATGATACTGACAAACAAGATCGTAGGATATGGACGCCAATAATCATATATAAACCGAAGAAAAAAGAGTTATTGGGAACGAAAAACTATCGTGTAGAGATATATTCTCTACTACGGACAGCTACTGCGAAAGCATGCGCGTATCAAATGCGAAAACAAACATCTGTATATAGAGTAATACGTATAAAAAAACATGCACCAACACTGATAAAACAAGTAAACGTACGTGCTAAGGGAAGACTGTCTAAGATCAGTTTTTGTATTTGTTGTTAGAAGCGCAGAGGACATCCTAAAGAGTTGGCCAAATTCGGTTTGTCTTGTTTAAGTAGTATGCTACAAAGTGCGACAATGTTCTAGGCAATAGAGGAGCGGTCACCGTCATTTTCTGAAGCCCACCGGACTATACGGGATGCTATTTAATTCGTGGAATTGCTGTGGTCCTTAATGTTGTTTTTCGCCATGCCAAAGCTGTCTGTGTTACGTTTTTATACGCCATTCTGTTCTGTTTTTTTTTTTTTTAATAGTGTAAATATTTTGACAAAAAGAGTAAAAAAAAATTAAACAACAAAAACGCAGTTTCTACGGCGATAATATCTGAATTTAGGACTAGTGACGCTAACGCTAACAAATGGATCAACTTCTACCGTTGAACAAGTACAAGTGTGCATACAAGGACTGCATACAACACACCTGAACATGTAAATGGGGTAACATATATACTTAATAGATGGTTGCGTAAGCTTTGCGTGTGTTTCCTAATCGCGTCGACAATACGATATCTTAGAACTATTGCAGACGCTAACCAACGACCGAAAACAGCGATATCTATTAAAATCTATTTGAACATGGAACTAAGTTCTGGTGCACAACTTTGTTTTTGGTGGTGCTAACAACAGGACTACTGACATAATAACACCACCTGCATATATGTATATATCGAAACTTTTCATGTAATCAGAACAAGCTGGGATTAGCCTTTCCGACTTAATTTGCATTTTTTAAAAAAATATTTTTCCTTGATTTTACGTATGAGTTTGATCATAGAGGTGCCAAATCAGCTAGCGGCCCTTCTATCAATATATTACCACTTTTCTATACCCATCTCCTTGTTGTCCTAGCGGCCATCATTGATGTTGAACGTTTTTCGGAGAGGGAAAAGCCTGCTTATAATATCTACGTACGATACAGTCCCCCACATTACCAACGATCGGTTTCGTTCGACGAACCGATTTCGTCCGCGCCGCCACTTAACCCTGCCTTCATTTAGAATTATTTTTAATAAGGCCAACAGGTGACATTGCGCTAGAGTCAGCATTCAACACATTTCCATACGGATACATGTAACACCTACTAGCTTACAGTTACACCATCCAACTGCGAACTTAGAACCAATTTAACTTATTAGCTAGGCTGAGAGATAGCAGTGAATATACATACATATAAACAAGAGAATTATCATTGCAGGCGCAGAGTACAGATATATACAAGTCGTATAAAATACTATATAAACAGATGTATTATCAGCGTAAATCGTTGCATCAAGACAAACTCTAGCACGTATATACGGACGGCTAGTAATAATTGCCAATTGTCTCTTCTTACGGTAAACAACAACTTTAGTAATAATAGTAATAATGATGACGCTGACAACATGAAAATGATTACCTTTTTCTAGCGAGTCGCTACTCTCGTATAATTTTTGAACAGGTTTACACTGTTCCATATCATTAGATAATTATATCAGTCATTTCTGCTGCAAAATGACCGGTATCCGATCTCGGGTAATAGCAGGTAATTATCCTTATGGCAGGGACGTTCAGCCTGAATTCTGTTTCAGGCCCGTTTTTACATCCTTCAATTTAAAAGCAGAACACGCCAGGAAACGACGGCATATGACATACGTTATGATATGAATTGTTCTAGCTTCGTAACTTTACCACTAGCTGCTCTTGCAATGAGCGATCGCTGTGCGGGAACTTTCAAGTTCGCTAAAATTTGCATAACGAACCATTGAGTCAGAAAGGTAAAATGTAGACCTACTGAGCAATCGTTGAAACCAGCGGAGGCCATAAAACAAGAATATAAAGCTATTTTAGTAGCTTATATGGCGTGACAAATACAAATCGAACGATTCAAGATCTATGGGACTAATTATGATTAAAAATAATGAGGTAATAAGTTATAACTAGAATGGTACTGCGATGGGGAGGGGTCGAATTTTACAAAACTAACCACTATACAACAACAACAACAACAGAGACGCATACAAGATTATATATATATATATATATATATATATATATAATGTACTGAATGTTAAGTAAGGACAGATTGGCGAAAAGCGACAGCAAAAAGATGCTCAGATCTGTATAGGAGATTACATACGGACCAATACTTGTTAGATATATAAATAGAAAATATATTATAAAATGAACACACATATATATATATATATATATATATATATATATATATGACTTGTTTTAATACGCAGACTGAAGCTAACAATAACTAGAAGTCGACTGAGATCACCGTACTAACGTCAACGAAAGGATAGCAATGATGCTGAGTTCCGGAACTTACAGTCCTAAGTGACCTACGGTCGTTTACTACTACTAAAAAAAATCGATGACTGACTAATTAACTAACTAACTAACTATCTATCATTGAAGTGTGAGACGGCGCACAAACATAAGCACTCGTACGAAGCACCATAACGACAACAATTTCGTGATAATCCTAACCACAATGAATTAGGAAAATACTTATTTTTGATGATTCTGACAATAATCTAATTTCAATCATTATTACACCAGAAATAACAACAATAAGCATTATTGCTAGCCTTTAAGGATTGTTGTTGATTTTTTTTTTTTTATTTGAAATTGCTGGAATTGTTAGTGGGCAATAATTAGCGCTAATAACAACAACAATAACAAGGCGAAGCAGAGGAAAACGAAAAGGATCAGAGGCGAGACGCTTCATTCTAGCAACAATTACTATTAATATATTACACAAGATACGAGAAGGTACTGAGCGTTATTCTGAGTTGACTGAACGCTCGTTCGTATGTGAAACGAGAGCGAAATAATAATAAAAACTGAAAAAGCAATTCATAGAAAAACTACAAGGATGACAAAAATGATTATGCCACTTAACAACCAATAAATAAATAAATAAATAAATAAAAATGTGTATTTTATCAATATATAAAACGCGATACACTCTTGCGCTTTGTTAGTTACATTCAACCGGTCAGGCAAAATCTCAAAATGTTTTAAGTGCTTTTATTACATGTCTCCTTTGTAAACATTTATATATATCAAGTAACTTATATACAAATGTATTAAGTGATTTGCCATAATCCCGTAGTGCATGCTCATGTATACGTAAGGTGAGCCGAAAATCTCTTGACAGCTCAATAATCGGGGCAGTGTTAAATATAAGATATATTTAAGCTCCATTTGTCATGCAATACACACTTGTTCTTGCGTTGACAAGCTATTAGCGTGTGTTGTTTGTTGATGGCCATCTTGGTTTTTGTAGAGGGCATTGTCTAGGGGCGAAAGGACAAAAAAGTTGCTATCGTCAGTTTACGATCAATCAAATTAACATCTCGTAAGGAAAAATATTTCGAGAACCGGCTCCATCTTTCCCGCAGATTCTCCCAGGATAAAATTCTAGTAACCCCAAAAAAGAGTCAAATTCAGCCAACGATTGTTCGAAGTCCGACAGCGAAAGAGACAGGCAGGTAGGCAGGCAGGCAGGCAGGCAGACAGACAGACTTTCTGCTAGTGTAGATTGACTGGACGGAACTGCAAGTTTCGCCCCGCGAAACACCTGATTGTACGCACGAATTACGTTAGTTGTTCGCTTAAGTGATGTACAATTAAGGGGCTAGAAGTTTTGTTCCAATAAGTAATCTCTAGTCGTTTAGACGAAACGCTGTTCACAGGTAGAAACAAAAATAACGTTCCTCAATAGATGTGAATGAACAGGCTAACTTTTTAGGGATGTTCTATTGAGAAGAAGTTTAGAAAAACTATTTAGCTAGTGGGTAACTTGTGGCTAAAACAGAAACCAGTTAGGTGGCCAACTTAGATCTAATTATCTTTACTACCGGATGAGCCCACAATTTTTATGCCTAATCGCTTAAGAAACTACTCAAGAATTGAAAGGAATAAGCGAAACATTATCCTGTGCCGTTTAGGTCCATCTCCCGAACCGAAACCTAGTGTCACACACAGCGTTTGAGAATAATTCAATGGTGTCTTCCTAGTAACAATACATCTAACGAAGTTTAATGAACTATGTTTGGTGCGTTCGCCAGGCAAATCGAGATTAAGGCTATGATAGTTACAAACCTTCTTAGTGGTAACGCTGGCTCATTAGTTCAACGCTGTCGTACGATTGTTTGATATACAGTTTATCGCCGTTGAGATACAGATGAGTGGCTTCCATAATATATACACTGTTATTATAATCTGCGCTTATCAAATGAAAGCTTCAACTGCCAAGAGACCTACGACCCATTCTACAAGTATATATATATATATATATATATATATATATATATATATATATATATATATATATATATATACATAGAGTTAAGATTTAAGCCCAAGCTACTCAGGTTCACCAAAAGATCGTGCGCGCAGCTACCACTGATTACTCGCAGCTGGATGCTTAGCTTTCAAAAAGCCTCGATGCGTCAAAAGAAATGTTTCATTGATAAATCTCTTCAAAGTTAAAAAGAGCAGTTTACACACTGATGGGTCTATCAGTGTTTTATGACACCAACAGTTCGGGCGACGAGATAAAGCCATGTGGAATTTATTTCATGCCATGCAGTGCATTCTGTTGCGTTGTAGCATCTCTTCTTCCACGTAGAATCTGCTGATACCGCAGAAGATGTTGCACTATAACGCCTTGCATTTATACAAGCTAAGAACTTTTCTAAACTTCAAGCAAATCCAGTTAATGAACGTCGCCAAAGACGAACTATAAAGGCAAGGCAAACAGGGGTTCATGATACCCAGATATACGAGATCATTACTTCTTCTTCTTCTTCTTGATGCTTCTTAGCAACGGGAACACGCAGGAACTCAAAGAACACTCGCATTGCAGATTGAAACAAAAGGGTAGTGGAAGCTCGACTCGCAACGTTCATGACAATGCATTGAGAGGCGATATCGAATTCAGAAACGATCCACGAGTTCATGAATGCATAAATTGTCATTGATCGTATGCAATAAATAAGTGCTACCTATATATCCTTGGAGAACAGGACAACAAACCTTCAGTGCCTGAGTATTCACTATGCTGAATCAGCAGGTCCTGCTCTTTTGTAGACAGTTGAAATAGTAAGTTCCGATTTCAGTTCAATTAAAATACTTTTCAATATGCTAGTTTCCTGCACACGCACTGGTGCACCATCAAACAACAATTCCTTAGTCTAAAAAAACAGTTGAGCCTTTCTTTGGGGGCTTCCATAATAAATATAAATAATTTAAATGAAAAGCCTACACGAGGAAGCCATATACAGCTGGCGTTCCGAGAGGATATATTCACTAGTGTACTATTACGAGGAATATTGTAGCTTACAATAAGAAGTTAACATTGTGTGTAACCGTTTAATAAAGTAATATATTTGAAAGATACTCAAAATTAATGATATATCCAATTAGTTAAACTTTCTGTTCAATGACTTATTAGCAATTTTGATTGTTCTTACGCTGAAGCCTGGCGGGTTTCGAAGGAATTAGGTCCATGTATTAGGTTACGTTCTCATGATAATACATAGGCATTTCGATACAAAATGATAGTTCTAATCCATATATCAAAGCTTGATGAATTTAGCTTTAAAAACAACTCACTCATGTACATCCTTTAAACAGGCAGGGTTTGGGAGATCTCAACAGGGAAGGGTGCACACGAGCCGAAGATGAATACTATATGAAAAGACTATGAATCATGTCACAAGTTATATTTGGTCCGACAACATGACAAATTCAACTTGAGTAGTAACTTTGATCTTTGCCGGACGAAAAAAAAAATAGTTCAGCACTAGTTTGTCACGACGAAAAACACTGATATATCTGTTCGTATAAACACTAAGTTCGGAAGCAAGACAGATAAAATTATCTGTTTGCTTAGTACTTTTGCCTTACTTACGCATGTTAGCTCGGCAAGCAAAACAGCTATTCCCGCTAGTTTGATCCATTCTTACAATTTTGAGAGACCCTATCTTTGGGCGAAAGGGTACCGCGGTGAAGGATACGATAGAAGCTAACAAAATTTGGAGAAAATGCCGTATTAGCTCGCGATCCTATTACTAATAACAAGTAATTATGCTGATATATTTGCGAAAGACACCTTTATCCTACAGTCTAAAATAGACAACTACCAATTAATTAATTGGAAGCAAAGTTAAATGGGCAAGTAAAAAAGATCAGTCAGTTAACAGGGCTAGACGAAAATGCCTGCCCTTCAGAACTAAATTGTGGCGTTCGCTAGAAAACAAGATGTTTCCAAGGATAACCTTGCTGGGTAATGTGAAACTGGGTATATATATATATTTACATTATATACGTACTCCTAAACCGGCGATAACCAAAAGTCATATCTTTTAATTCGGTTATTGCTAGCGTATTCCTGGGAAATAGCTGGATAATTATTTTTCCAACGAAGCACACCCAGTAAAATTCAATGACTTGCGCAAGCTGACAACCCCTAAATTCTGCTTTTCAGCCAGACTTCAGGAGATATGGTTTATGGTGCTCTTCTCAAAGTAACAGCTGTTTTTTTTTTACCAGCGTCGAGTTTTTTTTTTTTGCTAACACTATCACTGTGGTTGCTTTCGAAGCAGACGATCTGCAATTTGTAATCGCCGTCGCTGAAGGTACTTGTGTATATATGTCATTGGCTGATTTTTAGTTTGTGACGTTTGAGAAGTCGGTCAAAAAACAAACGAGAAATGATTAGAATTTTTATTTGCTTCACGCAAACCCAAGAAACCGAAGGTACTTAAGTGTTGCCTTAATATCGATCATATAGGTTTTTGGCCAAGATGAGTTTTTTTACGTAATAAAACGTCTTCATTTTTTTAGACTTTAGGAAATGTAAAATGCCTCGCGTGGAAAATATCGCATTTTCTTTATTACTTTATTACTAAATTAATTTCAATAAAATTGTGCATGTGTCACATGTACCTAGGGCGGCACTTTGATGAAATTTTACTTCGTATGAATTCGTAGGATTCTGATACCTTATCCAATGATACTGAATGATATTTTGTTTTGTAGGTGTTTGAATGAAGCACAGAAAATGAAAGGAGATCTGAAATATATAAATCTTTTTTACCATGAATTTATGACGTGAAAGTATGAACTATAAAACCCTGCACTCATGAAATAGGAAGATTTAAATGATTTAAAATTTAATGTATAAACATATATTTTAATTTAGAAACAACAAATCTTTAAAATGAATAGAAAATTACTTATCATTTTATAAGGTGTAGCATAAACGGTTTCTGCAATTTCGATTAGTCGATTATAACACATTTATATAGACTTTACATAAGGTCAGGTTAAATATCTTAAGTGAAGTCCTGACTCAATCACGATCACGCTACGCGAAATCAGCCATGCCTTATTTAGCGCCACTTAGATAAGCCCATGAAAAAAAATAATACAATGCCCTGTTTGGTTTAAATGGACACTCAATAATAAGATACCGAACAAACAGCTACTCTATATATCTTCATAAATTTATATAGGGTGCTTGGTCTGCAGCGGTGCGTTTTGTGTATGTGCAACATAAATTTTCGTGGGCCGTGTAAAATATTATCCAGACTGTGATGTTCCATCACATGCCAAGAATAGCACAAGGATCAAACCTGTATTTCCACTCAGGGGTTGTCCTAGCGAACTGCTAATTGCCCACTTTGGTTTTAAATTCAGGCCTATCAAAAACGTTGCATGTCTCTCCCCCCTTCTCTCTCTCTCTCCTCTCTCTCTCTCTCTCTCTCTCTCTCGCTTTCTGTCTATCTATCTATGATGCACTTTAAACAGTTGTAGCTGGCAAGCTTCTTCTTTGACACTTCCTTACCTCAGTGGACCGGCCGGTCTCGTTTGG